TCTTAGATCTTTAAATCCTGCGCTAATTTCATGCAAAGAGATTAAATATAGTAAATATTTCACATATCATATAATGAATTTTTATTAAAAAAAAAGCGTTAAATTGAATGAAAATAAAATTTGAGCAAGCATCTTAATTAAAACATTAGATAAATTAAATATAGAATACCTATAATACTAATGAATTTTCAAATAGTCAATATGAAAACCATATTTTTGAAAGGGATTCAAACTGCTTGTCTCCAAAGGTTCATGTATTTGCTATATATGGTACTAGCGTGGACAAAAACCAGCAAAAAATTATTCAAAAATAACAATGAAGATAGCTCTCGAACTGCAGCAACTATATCGATTAAGCTTTTGGAATTATCGAATGTATTGAACGATTTTTAATTTCGATATTTGGAAGAGCATCACGTCTATTTAATGTGGTATATTATAATTTATCTTCGAAGACTGTATAATTCGTTGATTCTTTTTCTCTCATATAAATAGCAAAAAGTCGATTAATATGATTTTCAGCCTTATTGATTGGAAAAGCGATTATTTTGTTTTCAAACTCCATTCTAAATTTCTCTATTAGTATCGATGAAAGTATCGTTTTTAAATTCTTGGTGAAAATTCTATACATCGTGTCTCTATAACATTAAATTATATTTGTATATATCTACAACTTATCATAAAAAAATCACTACTTACAATTTTGTCAAAGTTATCGATAGTTCTAATATTTAAATAATCTTATAGTGCGGCCAAACGGAATTGCAATACTATCGATAATCGATATATAATATTTCGTAAAAGTTCTCGATAATAAGAAATTACCGGTCTTCGGTTTCGAACAATCTGAAAGGACCATCAAACTAAAACTTATTTAAATCTATTATTTTTCGGCAAATATCGATATTTAATTTTTTGATATTATCGATACTTACAAATCTGTCAGAGTTATCGATATTTCTTTTTTCTAAAAAATTCTAAAGTGCGATCAAATTGAAACACAATTACATCCATTATCTAGCGAATCGATAATTAATATTTTATCAAAGTTACCGATAATAAAAACTGTTCACATTGCTTAGCGATCAAACGCAAGTTTTTAAATTTCCAACACTTATCGAGAAAATGTCGATGTTTAACTTATTGTCAAAGTTATCGATAGTTCTTACTTTCGAACAATCCAAAATAGCGATTCAACTAAAATGTAATTAAATCGATTATTTATCGTAACAAATCGGTATATAATTTTTTGACAGAATTGCCGATAACAAAAAATTGTGCACATCGTTCAAGTCTAAGTTTTTATATTTGGAACACTTGTCGAGAAAATATCGATGTTTGATATTTTGTTGCAGTTATCGATAACTGTTACCTTCAAATAAACTAAAAGTTTGATCATAATGCAATGCAATTATATCATTTATTTAATTGAACAAATCGACATTTAATATTTATCGATAATTTTTATTTTACATCGTCTTAAAAAGCAAGAAAACTGAATTCTTACCATATCCCGATCAAATCAAAGTTTTTATAGTCCTTTTATTTGTCGATAAAATGTCGATATTTTATACTAATCGATAATTTTTATTTTCACACAATCTAAAGAGACACTCAAAGAAAAATCTTAATACACCGATAACTTATCTAACAAATAGTTAATTAATTTTTTGTTATCGATAACTTTATTTTTACAAAAACTTATTTACAACAACAAAATTTTATTTCAATAATTTCTGACGAAAATTATTTCTATATTCAATACTTCACTCATATAGATTGAAATAATCATAGGCAAAGACATAACCACTTAGAAACATGCCAGTATGAACTCGCTCATTTTAAATAAAAAACGACAATAACAAAATAAACATATCCATCAGTAATACGCAGGATATTCATCATTTTCTTTCAAACTAAATTTTTATTTTATATTTAGTATTGCCAGTTTTTATTTATAAAAATATGAAATAAAATATAGCAAACGGCTTAGGAACATTTATATAGTGTGCATGAATAAATTTTATCAATTTTATGTGAAACAGTGCACACTATGTATTTATGTGATATTTGTTAGTAAGTGATGCAAACGATTAAGGAATGTTGAATATAAAAAATACTGAGAATATAAATAATGCCAATACCAAGCATAAATCAAATGAAATGGGTAACATTGTATACGCAAACGAAAATGTTTTCGAGCGTTAGAATTTTTAGAAACGACGCTGAAGTGCTGAACGAACGAACATTTTCATTTTAAACACTATCTTTAGTCTAATTGAATATGTAAGCTTTAGGTTAGTTTTGAAATAACTTTACTTAGAATTTAAGTACGCAACAATATGGTAGTAACTATATATTTGAGGAAAATAAAGATAAAAGAAAATAAAAATAGAATGCATGTATTTTATTTGAAAAATTGTTCGAGATATGGCGTGAGGAAAGAAGGTAAGTTATTAAAAGTAAGCGCTATATAATTGGTTTAATTTAGTTTTTATATTAAAATTAATTAAAATCGAAATATAACACCATGAACACCCTCAGGTTATGAATTGCCGCGAGGATATCTTTCAAATAAAATCTAACTCAAAATATATCGGATACTAATAATGTAGTCAGTTTATGGTGAGAAATCGAATTTCAAATTTCGATATCATTAACAATGCTGTTATGGTTGCATAAAAAAAAATATCGGTTACCGATATGATCACGAAAATATATATAGGCAGTATTAGCATATAAATATATACCGATAGCATGATAAAAATATCGATTTCCGATTCATTACGACAATATATATCGATAGTAATAAATAAATCGATGTACATATATAATGTGGACATTTTAGTATGTACGTCCATCGATAGTATGACAAAAGAGATATCGATTACTGATTAAACACGAAAATAAATATCGATATTTTTAAAGATTTAAATCGAAAATATGTAATTTCAGCATCATGCTAATGTCGAATTATTTTTAATACTCTGAACAGGGTATAAAAAATTTCCACGAAGCTAGAAACAACCAAACGAAACCCTAGTACAACTGCACTCAAAATACATGCAATTTACACATACATATGTACGATATATCGAAGATTAATAGATCATCTAAGAATTTTATGTCGACTAATCGAATTTCAGAGTTCGATGTCATAAACATTGTCTATCGGGAAGTTGTTATACATTGCTTAGTAATGAAAAAATCTATTGATATTCTCAGTATAATTATTGATAAAAGTGTTTTGAAAAATGTCGATTGATAAACTATTTGTTTTTTTAATATCAATTGTCGATGAATCTCGAAAATATATATCGACACATATTCATACATATATAAATATATATCGGCAATTCTTTCACTTAAATTTTTTATCCTAAAGAGGGTGTATTAAGTTTGCTACGAAGTTTATAACACACAAAAGGCACCCTAGTGTGTCAAGTATAACACTAATTAGAATATATCGAAGTCTAATACATCATTTAAGGATTGAATAGCGAGGAATCAAATTCCAGAAATCGAAGTCATAAACTTTGATTATTGTGTAATTGTAGTATAGTGGTTAATAACGAAAACATGTATCGATATATTTTTAAATTAGTTATCGATAAAATTATTTGAAAAATCGATACCATAAACTATGATAATACGGTAATTGCAGTACATTGTAGTAATGTAAGTTAGTAATGAAAACAGGGGTTCAGTGAAAACGTGTATCGATAAATTTTTAATAAAGTTATCGATAAAAATATTTTAATAAATATATCGATAAATAAAATTATATTAGCAACATTAAGTGATAAAATTATTTTTAAGAAATATCGATTTTCGATTAATCGCAAAAAATTTATATCGATAAATTGCAATATATATAAAAATATACATACACATTATGTTCTTTCAATATCGACTTAATTTTTTACATTAAACTGGTAATATAAAGCTTGAAGCAACATGCAAAAGCTGTATTCAATGTTTCAGAGATAATGATTTTGATGTGATAAATGAAGAACTTGGCACGAATATGTTGCATGAACGTTAATGCAACAAAAACAATCGAATTTTCGAAAATTTCACACTGAGACGAGCCCTTATGACTAGATATGCTACATTTTTAATGCACTCTAAGGCAAGCCTGTGAAATAAATACATATGCATATACATACAACTACACTACATACATAGTTCCAGCTGCTGGTAGAATATTCGCTTTGGTCCGACGGTCAATAACAATAGCAAACAGTATTTTGCTCGGCTATATGGCATTTTGGCGCTTTTCATTTTAACTAAGCCTTCCTATGTCTACTCCTATTCATCTATCTTCTTCTCTGCCCGTTCTTACCTACCTGTGCTCTTCTCTACCCTTCTTTTCTCTACAGTCCACTGTCGTGTTGTTCTCTACCGTCTACTTCTCTTCTCTACTATCCATCACTAATAAACAGCACTTTGTATAAGTATTGGTAACATTATTATTGTTGTTATACAACTATATCTGCCAATCG